GCCTATATCTTGAGCTTTAGAAGTTCAAATGATCTCAATGTTTTTTTTTTGTTGGAAAGCTTAGATACTTTTCTAGAATTTTTATATTCAAGTTAGTTCAAATTCTAATATTAGCAATGATGTTTTGGGTAGATAAGAAGATAAGGATTGTCATCAAGTCAAGAGTTGGTCACCCACTCAACAATTAGTCAACAAATTAATAGTTCTCAATTTTGACCTATAAAAGGAGGCATTTGCCATGCATTTAGACTTCTTGGTTTCAGATCAAGATTAAGTTTTTTTATTTATTTGTTTATATTTTTGTAATGTTTATGTTTTATTTCATATTATATTTTTCTTAATTTCTTCTTTATACTTTTTATTTTCTTTACTATACTTATGTTTTTATGTTGTTTATTTATGTTTCTCTTCTTCATTATGTTTAACTAAGTTTATTATATCAAGTTGAAAGGTTATACTAATGGTATAAAAATAAGTATAGTATATACTCAACATGGACTTTAATGTTTGATAGTAACATGTTTTGTATTTGTTATCTTGTTCACTTTTAATACTTTACTTGTTAAATAGTTAATCTAGATTTATGTTGTATAACACTTGGTACAACAAATACTTGATACTTTCATAATCCAACTGTATAGTATAATCTATACTTGTGCTATGAAAGGAACTTGATTTGATGTTAATATAAGTTATAATCATGAATACCTGACAACATTTACAACTATTAGCGTTATTCGAATAAGATAATTAATGTAATCATGCTAATAATTTATAATTCGATTGGAACCTCCTTTATATGTAATTTCCAATTAAATAATAAAAAGAGTTTATACTATATTTGTTTGAAATACTATTAGTGGATCCTCTAACCTTAACATTTTTTTTTATTGTTTAATCTTCACATTAATCTTATATCTCAAAGTCCTCTTTAACTTATTATTATTATTATTATTTATAATTTATATAGTTAACCTCCCTGTGGTTCGACCTTGATTTTGCTAGATTATGTATTATTTCAACACTTCTACACTTGAGAGAAGACATCAATATTTTAGTTATATCAGCGTACCACATCATATGAAAAAGGAGATGGTTGCACATTCAGTGAAATGATGAATAATCATATTTAGCCATTATTTGATGTTACACGCATCACCTAAATAGGGTAAACATCACTCACTCATTAGCACGTTTAAAATATGCACCAATATATTTTTAAATAAAAAATTAAAATAAATATATGAAAAAACCAAAATGCCACCCGTGGACATGTTAATTATACCAAATACAAGTGTGAAAATACAAAGTACTCCTAAAAGCATTTGATTTTTTAATTTTTTCAAAGTAAAAAATATGCTTTTATTATACATAAATCATGAAAATCTATAAATATCCCTGCACAATAACTCAAAAAAATGAAAACCTATAAATATCCTTGTGCAATAACTCAAAACAATTTTAATCTCAGAAGAAAAAAAATATTTTATTGTTAAAAAAACTTATGAAAAATCAAGAAATCTCCTATTTTAGTTATAAATTTTATAGCATTAGAGAGTGAATTTTACTGTATAAAAAATGGAAAACACTATTATATCCCAAACAATCTGGTGAAGGAAAGGTCACATCACCTTCTGTTCAAGTATTTTCTTTTCTACAGGGTGGCCCAACGACCATCGCATCATCGTATTCGTGCACGTGTCAGTGTGTTTGTCTTTCTAAGCCATATTCTCCAGAAAAAGATTAAGGCCTCGCTATTGGACTCCTATCTGTTTCTGTTCCCCCCCTCCTAGAAACGACCAGGGTTGACTTTAGTCAATGAGCGCGAAGATTTCCACTTTTCTGCGCGTGCAAATTTCACCATGTCCAAGGTTTTTGGAGCGGCAAAAAATCTTATACTAAATTCAAGAAGATTAACAATATTTTTTGAAGAGTATATTAATTCAGATATAGTTGATTTGTCTTAAGTGTTATTAAGAAAGGGGCTTAATTTCGATCGGGAGTGAGATTACTCTCCACCAAATTAATAATAATAATAATAATGTGCTACCATACCATAACTTTTAGCTAAATCAAAATATAATAATGCATATTTTTTATAAGATTTGAACTATTTTTTTATAAATTTTAAAAATATTCTAACAGTTATTTATATATAGGTTATGCGACCTGATATCAAAATTTAGTTTTATTAATTATGTTATATTTTTTATTAATTTTATTTTTCTTTTATTTTACGTCATACTACTTACTCCAATCTTCTTTAACATATCTTCTTACTACAAAAAAAGTATTATTTCAATTTTTTATTATCTCTTAACATATGTTAATTTTTAATATTACAAGAAAAAATAATAATATTATGAATACATTTTAAAATATCATAATTGTTTTAAATTTATAAACATAAATATGTTGTTTAATCAAACATGTTATTTACATTTCAAGTAGGATTTCAAGTTAATTTCTAATATGACAAAAAATAATTACATTATAAATAATTACATAATTACATTATAATTAACATTTTTTTAATTGAGAAATTAAAAGATATGGTTTATGCTTTATTAAATAAACTAGAAAAATATATAAACTAATAAATTTAAAAGGAGTTATTAATATTAATTAAATATTAAAACAATCTTCTATCCTTTCCATTCATTTTATCTTAGAGGCGAAATGTTGTTACTAATAACAAATTATTTCAAATTTTATAAAAATATCATACAAATATATTTAATTCATATAATATATAAGAGAAATAATTTTTGATATAAATCAAACTAATCTCTTGCAAGTATTATGCAATTTTAAAAAATATATAAAAAAAATATAACAGACTAGATATACATGTTTATGGTCATAAACTTAATTGAGTTTGCTTTATATTTTTTTTCATCATATTTATTTTTATAATTTTTTATGGTAGACATTGAGTTGCCTAATATCAATTGAGTTTTTTTTAATCATCAATCAAAAAATCATTCTCCATGGTTTTGGATTTCAAATGCTAAACTTTTAGCTTGTTTTACTTGAAAACATTTCAAAAACATTATATATACCTATAAAAACTAGACAAGATCAAAACATGCCAAAATCACTCTAAAAAAAATAATAAATCAAATCAAAATAAATAAAACAAAACATAATATATTTTTTCTATCATGTTTTCAGAAAAAAACACATCCATTAAATTTCTCTCTAAAAGAATAATTAATTAACTTAAAAATCTTTCTTTTTAAGGGTTGAATTATGACCAACCAACAACTTCATTGTTTTCATGTAATATTCTATCCTTTTTTTTTTAATACAAAGCCTGAAAAATAAATAAAATAAATTTTGAAACTAAAATCAAAATTTTAAAAATTGTGAGATTAACCACACTTTGTATTTGTATTTTATATTAGGGTCTTGTCATTTAATTTTATCTTCTTATTAGAGTTTTCAATATTATCTCATAGAATTAGGTTACAAAAGAATTAAAAAGAAATGTTTAGGAGTGAAATAAAAATAAAAATAAAAATGAAGAGTTGCTTCACATATACTACGTAGCTAAGTTGAAACTCGGGTTTTTGAGTAGTTTGTATAATCTTCTAATTTTTTTAATGGGCATTTGACACAACCCAATATGAAAAAGGTGGATATAAAGTTTCTTGATAAATAAATGGAGATAATTACAAGTAACATGTATATTTCTTGAATAATTTATATTTTAAAATAAATATGTTATTAAATTGATACTTTAATTATTTACATTTAACCATGTATGATAGTTACGATAAATCTCAACATTTATATAGATTTAATATTAATTTTTTTCCTTGAATATTAGACATTAAATATTAATTATGAATAAAAAAATTATGATGTCTTATTAATGAAAAACTCCCTGACCCACCTCAAACAAGATAGAACAATTTTTTTTTCTCTCCAAACTTTGATTAATATAACTATTACATATATTTTATAAGACCTGGTTTATTTTGTTTTTAATGAGATAACTTTATTTTGGATAAAAGTGTTGGGAGATTCAAGTAATTAGTCACATATAAATTTACATGGTTTAACAACTTGTTTATTTAAAAAAAGATACTGGTTTGTATTAATCATTCAAAAAAATAATACAAACAAAGAGGAGGATAAAACTTTTTTTGACTCAACTCTACGCACTTAAGCTCTTTTTATTGGTCTCTTTCTTAGTTTTCACTTCTTCTCAACTTTTTCAGTGTGTCTATTTATACACAAAACTAAAAAGATATAGAGTATAAATCATACCATGATTTATACCATCAATTAAGCCTTCATTATATGCCAAGTGAAAAATTATGTATTTTTTCTTGTATATAATGGAGGTGGGACAATGTTTGTTTCCACTAACAAAAAAATATAAAAAATAATTAAAATTGACCTACTTAATTCATGTCTCACCTAGATTATGTAAAGTTAATCTTAAAATGAAATCTAATTTGAACTATTGGAGTTTAGCAAATTACATGTTATTTTATTTATTAAGTTTTTGAGAGTGTAATAACTTTTATTTTTAAATGTGTTTTAAAAATATATTTTACTTAAAAATATATTAAAATTAATAATTTTTTAGTGTTTTTTTTATAATTTTAATAAAGTAACATGTAAAAAACATATCAAATAATTATTATAATACATTTTTAAGTAAATATATATTTTAAAAAACGCTCTACATGAGAAAACAAAACACATAAACCCGGCCGGGTGTAATAACTATGGGTTTAGCATGCCTATCTTGTCTGGATTTGACAGAAATAATGGAAACTTTCATTAATTAAAATCAAATACACAACAGTGTTATGTTATGGAATTCGCAGTTACATTTGATTTGAGAAGCATGCAGAGTAAATCAATCATCCACGTGCCATACAAAACATGCTGTGAAATCTACTAGCGGCCAAAAACACCTGTCCACGCTCTAATTTTCGTCTTTCGAGCCCACTTTGCTTATTAAAGCGGCAAAGCTAACTACTGCTAGCAAATTTCACACCTCTCTGTTGTCTCAATGTGCAAGTAAGAGATGTCTCTCACCTCTATGACTCTATCGAAAGTAAGGAATTTTCCATAGAAGCACGTAAGGAATTTTCTACTTTCCGTGCATGTAAGAATTACAAGCATATTGAGCTTGTTTGCGTGTCAATCGTTTGCTTGCTAGTTTCTTTTTCCCTCTCGAAGATTCATCAAAAAGAGTAGAATAACGGGTGTCTATATCTTGTGTTTTGGTTGTTTATAATAGTTATGACATTAATGTGGATATATACTTAGGGGGAGTTGATATGTTCTCATTTTCTTTCTGGGAAAATTAAAGGAGCACAAAAGATTAGGCCACAAAATGACTAAGAGAGAGGGCTTGCGTTTTAGCGAGTTATTACCGTTCTCGTGCTTTGAATCTCAGTCTAGTGAGAATCATGCTCTAATTGGGCAAAGAGGATACTATAGAGTGGTTTATTGCAATGACCCTGATACTCCGGAGGCTATTGAGCTTAATTATAGGGGAAATTATGTATCAACTACCAAGTATACTGCGCTTAATTTTATTCCGAAGTCTTTGTTTGAGCAGTTTAGGAGGGTTGCAAATTTTTACTTTCTTGTTGTAGCTTGTGTTTCATTTAGTCCTTTAGCCCCCTATACGGCACCTAGTGTTGCTGTACCTCTGCTTGTGGTGATTGGAGTCACCATGGCCAAAGAAGGTATCGAAGATTGGAGGCGAAGAAAGCAGGTAATTTTGCATTCTCTTTCTCTCTCTCTTTCATTTCTTTGCACCCTGTGGTTGTTGGTGTGCTGTGCATTTCTTTGTGCGGGCTTTAATGATGAAGTGAACTCAAAGTTTTGGTTCCCCTGTTGAGAAATTGCAGTCTGCATAGTCTTAGACTATCTAAGATTTATTCTGGTACATGATTATAACTTGTATAGGATATGAGGATCAATGATTGTAGAGACCCTTTTCAATTATGGATTAGGATTGAGAAATTAAATGTTATATTTATCTGTTTAAATTCTAGAAAGCAAACATATACATTTAGTTATAACTGTTAACTTGCTTCATTTGCTTATTTATTATTGTTGTTTCTGAAGACTATGTAACTGAGTTTTTTCTTGTTTCTCTAGCAATGATATCCTTCTTCTTCTTCTTTTTTTCGTGGATGACTTTTAAACTTAGAATCTTGCTTGAGCTCTTTCTTCACCCCTTGACTAACTGAGCTGTGGCCCCAGCACGATTGATCTTTCATAGAAATTGAAAGAAGAGTTGGATATTTATATACTTTGAAACGCAACAAGCAGCCTTGTTGAAAAGAAACACATTTCATTTTGTGATGGAGAAAATGAAATAGGGAGAGACTATTTCAGTGGCATTCTAGCTTATTTAATTCCACCCACAAACTTTGGTCCCAAATTCACAGGGGTCAGCTCTTTGGATTCTTTTCCATTGTAACTGTTATCACTACACAAAAGTTATATGCATAGTTGCAGAATATTTATGAGGTAAATTTTCTGTATATTCTTCCAGTGCCTATTACTCTCCTTAAATCAAGAGATCAAGAGTTGTATTTGATCTACTTTTGGATCTGTCAGACTAGTTATGATTATGGCCTTGCTGGTTGCTCTGGTGCTAGTTAGTTCCTCGACAGTCATACATGGTTCAAGATTTATATGCATCAAAATGTAATAGCTTCTTAGTTACGTAGCATACATTTCTAAACTAACAATCCTTTTATAAACCTTCTCCTCCTTTGTTAACTTGTCACCAAGCTGACATTTGAAAAACTTAACTTGTTTATCCCCTTCTTCATTTCTTCCTTCTTTGCGTTTCCTTATACCATCAGTTTCTGTCAATCTCATCAATCCAGGAGCGCCAAGGAGCATAGTGTCCGCAGAATCAACCATCTCTAGACACTGCATTTTCAACAGACAAAGGATTGTATACCTCACTCCCATTGCAAAAAACAGCACCATTACACAATGGCCAAACTTTCTCCTCCTTTGTTAACTTGTCACCAAGCTGACATTTGAAAAACTTAACTCATTTATCCCCTTCGTCATTTCTTCCTTCTTTGCGTTTCTTATACCATCAGTTTCTGTCAATCTCATCAATCCAGGATCACCAAGGAGCATCTTTTAGCATTGGTGCTCTGTCAACAAATTTATTATTTAAGACTTCAGTTTCCTGTCATCTGTTGTGCATATTTATATATATAATCCACCATCCTACCCTGCCAGTTTCCACACATAATTTGGGGTGGCATCTGGGTGTGGGGGATTAAATGCATGCCTTCAATTGCCTTCATTCAATATGTGCATATTTATATATTTAAACCAGCAGTTTATGTAATATTGGGTTTTTTTTTTTTTATTTGGTATTATTCAAACGCTGATTATAAACTTGCACGCTGGCAAAATCCATTTTTTCTTGTAATTTTCACTTGGTTCATATGTGTTCTCATTCAATTTACCAGGCTCCATCAAATTGTTGTACTGTTATTGCATGTGTTCATCCCTTCCAAAAAACAATTCCTCAGTGATTCATTCATACTAGACTGATCTTTGAATGGTTTCAGGATATAGAGGCTAACAATAGAAGGGTCAAAGTGTATCATAAAAACTTTACCTTCCTTGAGACTAGATGGAAGAAACTCCGAGTTGGAGACATTGTTAAGGTGTCCAAGGATGAGTATTTGCCTGCTGATCTGCTTCTGCTTTCATCAAGCTATGAGGATGGAATTTGTTATGTTGAGACCATGAATCTTGATGGAGAGACTGATTTAAAATTGAAGCATGCCTTAGAGGTGACATCCTCCCTACGTGAAGAAGAATCCTTGAAGGAATTTATGGCCATGATTAAGTGTGAGGACCCGAATGAGAAGCTTTATTCCTTTGTTGGAACATTGTACTATAATGGATATGATTACCCACTTTCATCTCGGCAGATTCTTTTAAGAGATTCCAAACTTAGGAACACTGAATTCATCTATGGTGTGGTTATTTTCACGGGACATGACACAAAAGTGATGCAGAATGCAGTAAATCCCCCCCCTTCTAAGAGGAGTAAAATTGAGAGGAGAATGGACAAGATAGTTTATCTCCTTTTCAGCATGTTGGTTTTGATATCATTTATTGGATCCATATTTTTTGGAATTGAAACTATGAAGGATTTTAGAGGTGGGAGATTTAGAAGGTGGTATCTTCGACCGGATGACACAACTGTGTTTTTTGACCCCCAAAGAGCACCAATATCTGCATTTTTTCATTTCTTGACAGGACTTATGCTGTATGGATATCTGATACCAATATCATTGTATGTGTCAATTGAAATTGTAAAGGTTTTGCAAAGCATTTTCATTAACCAAGATCAGGATATGTACTATAAGGAAACCAACAAGCCAGCACAAGCACGCACATCTAATTTGAATGAGGAGCTAGGGCAGGTTGAATACATAATGTCTGACAAAACTGGTACATTGACATGCAACTCAATGGAATTTGTCAAATGTTCTGTAGCAGGAGTTGCTTATGGCTGTGGTATGACAGAAGTAGAAAGGGCCCTGGCGAGGATAGCAGGTGATGAGCCACTGGAAGCTGATGATACTAGAAACTCAGGAAATTCAATCAAGGGATTCAACTTCAGAGATGAACGTATAATGAATGGACAGTGGGTTAATGAACCTCGTTCAGATGTTATACAGAAGTTCTTTCTAATTTTAGCAGTCTGCAACACAGCATTTCCTGAGAGAAAAAATGAAAGAGGTGAAATTTCTTATGCAGCTGAGTCCCCAGATGAAGCAGCCTTTGTAATAGCTGCAAGGGAGATTGGCTTTGAGTTGTTTGAAAGGACGCAATCAAGCATATCATTGCATGAGTTGGACCCTGTGATTGGTAAAAAAGTTACTAGGTGAGCTTTTCAGGTACATTGTGTTTCTTCATTTCTATCCATGGTAATTAGGATAAAAATATTGTTAAGTTATCTTGTTCTGTCCAAACATAGTCGCCTCTGAACAAATTGTATTGATTTCTGCAATTTGCTTCGTATTAGAGATACTGAAGTTTATTGATTATGTTATCTTTAATTATGCTGAAAACTCATTCATTGGAAGGAAAATTACAACCTTTTTGAGCTGTGTGACATTTGATTCCTTGGTCACCTCCCCCAATGAGTTATCAGCAGGATAAATCCGTTTCTATTTTAGTTTGATGTTTTTTAACTTGTCCTTTCAATTTCCTTGCACCAACGTTATCAAAATTGTCTTTTAGACATTTCTGTCAACTAGATCCTACTGTAAAAATCTATAACACAAGAAAAATGTGTCCGTCCTATTTCCAAGAAAAAGATGTGTTTGCATAACCATTGAATTCTGAAAGCCTACTTCAAAATGGGATGATGGATATTCCAGATTGGGAATTTATAAACTTCCTACGCCTTTTCTATAGGTTGCTATCTAAAGAAGTTTAGGTGCTGAATACATAAGGTTCATGCAATAAAGATTGAAGTAAATTTCAGCGGTTTTCTTTTCTTTTTCTTTTTCTTTTTTTTCCTGGAAGGCATAAATCTTCTAACAACTAGAACAGTGGGAATATGTATCCATGTTACTGTTGTGTCTGATACATGTTATCAAACACACCCTGTCTGCCCATGCACATACTATATCTCTCTCTGGAGTAATCTCTCTATCTCTCCAGAAAAGAAAAATTGTTCAGCGTACACAAAATTTCTTTAAATGAGTTAAATGGAAATCATTCAAATTTAGGCATCACATTTATGGTTCCTTTTATATATACATTTCATGTGACTGAGTTTATATATTCCAGAGTCTACCAGATACTTCAAATCCTAGAGTTCAGTAGTAATCGCAAAAGGATGTCTGTAATTGTAAGAACTATGGAGAACCAGATATTGCTTCTTTGCAAGGGTGCAGACAGGTTTGGATCTTGATGCAGAATGACCTAATAATAGAGTTTATGAAGCACACATAACTAAAATCATGTTTTTCTTTTATTTGTCTATATATAGTGTGATTCTTAAAAGTCTCTCACATGAGGGACGACTATTTGAGGCTAAGACCAAGGAACACGTACAAAAGTATGCTAAGGGAGGTTTACGGACCATTTTATTTGCATATCGTGAGCTTGGTGAAGGTGAGTACAGAAAATGGAAAGCTGAATTTTCAAATGCCAAAGAAACTGTAACTGCAAACCGAGATGAGTTGATGGATGAAATTGCTGATAAGATTGAAAGGGATTTAATTCTTCTTGGCGCTACAGCTATTGAGGACAGACTACAAAAGGGGGTATGTACCAAACTTAAAGAATGCATTACCTAGATAAATTGTCATTTTAGCTGTTTTGGCCCATGCCTATTTACGCTGCCATTGTTTGAAGTGTTGTAAACTGTCTCATCCAATAGAAAAGAAGGTATCCCATAACCAAACCGAAAGCTCAAATCATTATTTAGGGAGACTTAATTTCTCATAAATAATTTTGTTGATTGATAAGAACTGATATTGTTCTTTCATGTTAGGTTCCAGAGTGTATTGATAAGCTCGCAAAGGCAACAATTAAAATATGGGTTTTGACTGGAGATAAGATGGAAACTGCTGTAAATATTGGGTATGGCGTGAAGCTTGTAACCAAATGATTTTTTTTGGGCGGTGTTTCCACATTATAACTATCATGATTTTTACAGTTATGCTTGTAGTCTACTAAGACAAGGGATGGAACTGATTATCATCACACTAGACTTGCCAGAAATTAAAGCCCTGGAAAGGCGAGGGGACATGGAGGCTATTTCTAAGGTATAGGATTCTAGAAAATGAGTTAATTTAATTTTCAGATTCTGCAGAGTCTGAAATATTTTATCATATCAGGCTTCTTTTCAAAGTGTTAAAAAGCAGTTAGAAGATGGACAACGTCAAGTTGATTCTGCTAAAAAATGCTCAAATGAGTGTGGTTTGGTGGTTGAGGGGGAGTCCTTGGCTTTTGCGCTGGACAACAAGCTGGAGAAGGATTTTTTGAATCTTGCACTTGCTTGTGCTTCTGTTATATGTTGTCGGTCCACTCCCAAACAAAAAGCTCTTGTAAGCATCATAATCATGCTTATTTTAATGATTTGTTCGCTAAAAACTGACATTTTTTGTTGCAATTTATGTAAAAAATCTAAGAAAAGTATAGAAGATATGCAGGTCACGAGACTGGTGAAAATGGATTCTAGTAAAACAACATTGGCAATTGGTGATGGGGGGAATGATGTCAGCATGCTTCAGGAGGCTGATATTGGAGTTGGCATTAGCGGTGTTGAAGGAATGCAGGTCACTATTACATATTCTTTGAAAAATCCACCTGTGGTTAAATTTTTTCTATTCTCAATACCATTCAGAATTTAAGCTTAAATTCCATTAACTTGATATAGCTCCACAATACATTATCTTCGATGCCGTCCCTTGTCAATTAAATAGATGTGTGTTCCATGTTAATATGGCATCAAAAATATTTATTATGGACTATGAAATACTAGTTTTCTTTTTTTGATATTCGCTATGTGTAACTGTTATACACGAATTTGTGCTGACTTGTCTATTTTCATTTTAATCTTGAAGTTCTTAACCATTTCTTATGGCTGTTTAAAGTGGTAATACAAGCTTGGTTGTGGCATGATGTTGTTACAAGTTTTGAGTGTGAGGAAAGATCTGGTGACTGATCCTTTGGGTTTAGAACTCAAAATTAAATGGTTCAACCTGTGGTTTAGATCTCCTTCCCTAGGATCTTTGTTTTGGAGGACCAGAACTCTATGACTTGGGCATTAAACAGCTTTCCATTAAGCAATTTCCTTCTTCAAATCTTCAGCTTCAGCAAAGTACTCAATATATGAAAAGTTCAGCTTTAGATTTCATAAAATTAACTAGAGAAATTGAGCTTTGGCGGAGTCCATTGCTTGATGGTTATGAATATGCAGTTTAATCATCTGTATGTCAAGTTGGTGACGTTATTTCCAGTCTATTTGTCTCCTCACAAGCTTGATCATAGGTCGCCATATAAACCTTTTGTATTGTTGAAAAGGAACAAATTTTTTCCTGTCTAAAAATCAGATCACGTGGAAAAAGGGAATGAGTGGGCGAGATTTGATTAATTAATGCTATTGTTTCCTTCTCTGTCACATAATAAATTACCCTTCCCATATACCCTCGCCTCTGACTCTCCATTTGCAAACTATCCCACATATTGTTCCTGTTGCCACTTCTAGTATTAACAGTTGCATTGCTTTTTTAAGTTGCAATCCTCATCTTAAGGCATAAAATTCCTTGAACAAATACCACTGTTATAGTCCTCCTATCCATGGTCTCTATTGAAACATTTATCAAGATCAAGTCGTGACCTACTTACTGATTTCAGCTATTTCTTCCACTGCAGGCTGTGATGTCAAGTGACTTTGCAATTGCTCAATTTCGTTTTCTGGAACGGTTATTGCTGGTACATGGCCACTGGTGCTACAGGCGAATAGCAATGATGGTAAAACTGTTTGTTCCCAAGTCATTCTCATCTTTCTAGAAGTGCATGTTAAATATATAGAGAAATGAAAATCACATTTCCCTATGCAATCAGCTTTTTTTCATGCAATTAGAGGTTTTATGCTGTTTGTCATTTGTGCCTTTTTGGTTTCTGTTCCAAGAATATAATTCCTTCAAAAGAAAACGAGCATATGGCATTATGTTTCTCTGCACATTATGGAGAGATTTAAAAATGTTGGCCACCCAAGGAACTTGAAACTCTTGCATCCATCTTTACATTGTCATTTAGAGAAAAGGAATCCATATAGGTGGTCCAGAACTTGGGCTTAATTGAACTGAATTTCTTGCCATAATTTGTTTTATAGTAAACAATCAGGATCACATTAGTTGAAGAGGTAATTGCAATATTTTAGGAGAGCTGAGCAAAATGTGGGGAGGCTATTCCATCCAAGTTGTAAAATGTAAAATTGTCAATTAAATGGCTGTTTTAGCTAATTAGTGTGCTACTGCATGTTTTTTGTTTGGGTGGTTGCAGGTATGCTACTTTTTCTACAAGAACATCACATTTGGGTTTACTTTGTTTTGGTTTGAGGCCTATGCTTCTTTCTCTGGCCAGCCTGCGTATAATGATTGGTACATGTCATTCTACAATGTCTTCTTCACTTCGCTTCCTGTAATTGCTCTTGGTGTTTTTGATCAGGATGTTTCTGCACGGCTTTGTCTCAAGGTAGGAAATTCTTGCTACATAATATCGGGGACATGTTAACAGAAAGAGGAAGAAAATGTCTAGAATTGGGAAAATCCAAATAGCCTTGACTCCTGAATCTCAGGAATGCAGTATTATGTTATAAGAAACAGAGAAGGACTATTAGAATCATTAGTATTTGTGTCTTATATATAGATACAAGAACTAGCTTCTTTGTCGGGTAAAGGAAGGTGTCTGAATTAGAAACATGCTAGGAGGATAACCAAATAGCATCTTAAACATTTTCTAAAAAGAAACTGGAGATTTGTGATTCTTACAATTGAAAAAATTGGGTTTGACATTGGTAATTTCCTTTGACACTGCTTTTCTTTATTAGACTGTCAATGACATAGCATTAATTTTGATAAACTTTCTTGCTGACTTTTTTCCTCCGAGTTACCTGCTTCTGGAAACCTTAGCGACATCAATATTCTTGACTTTTTGCTTCCCACATACTACCATAATATGCAATTTCAATTTCATAATTGATAATTTGGAACAAGTCCATTGCATTTATTTGCTTCACACCTCGTACTATACTTTCATTATTAAGATGGTATCTGGGATTGGATCAAGTTCTGGTGGAATGGCTTTGTTACTGTTCATCTTTTCCCCCCCTTCTCAGAATGACCTAACCCCTTGAAACCGATGCAAATGTAAAAGTACTAAGATGCACATTCTCAAAAACACGAGGGTATGAATATGCAGGCATGCAACAGTGAGCAACTGGAGTGGAAATTTTATGCTACAAACTCCATTTATTATCACATAATTGAATACTTTTTTTCAATAGTCAATACTTTCAAATGTTACCTCTATGACTGTAGATCAGAAGGCCTTTTGTTGACTGTAGATCATCTTTTTTACAGTATCCTTTGTTATATAGAGAAGGAATCCAAAACATACTCTTCAGCTGGCCCTGCATCCTTCTTTGGATGTGTAATGGAGTTCTTAGTTCCATAATTATCTTCTTCTTCACCATCAATTCCATGATCAATCAAGCCTTCCGGAAAGATGGTCAAGTTGTTGACTATGAGATCCTTGGGGCGACAATGTATACTTGTGTAGTTTGGGCCGTAAATTGCCAAATAGCACTCTCTATCCATTACTTCACCTGGATTCAGCACTTCTTCATCTGGGGAAGCATAGCTTTCTGGTATATATTTATGGTGATATATGGTTTTCTTCCCCCCGGAGTATCTACAACAGCACATATGGTTTTTGTGGAAGCCTGTGCACCCAGTATTCTATATTGGCTTGTCACTCTACTTGTTGTTATTTCGACGCTGCTACCATACTTCTCATACAGGGCATTTCAATCTCGATTTCTACCCATGTACCATGAGGAGATACAATTATTTCGGTCAGAAGGCCACGAGGCTAGGGGGAAAATCAAAACGGATCACGCGGAGGAAGATCCGAGGCAGAGAAACATCTGACGAAAATGTGTATTTGCAGCTGTCAACCTGGGTCAACTCACTCAGGTGGCCTGATGCTTTTTTTTTTTTTCCCTGTTATAAATATACAGTGGCAGGTAAGATTGTAGGTGGGAGAGTATTCATATGAAGATGTGGATGCTTTTTATCAGCCTCCTGTAGATTATACAAGGGCAAACATCAACTTCTTCACCCATGCTTTGAACTATCCCGTTCCTTTGTTCATGGTTATAAACATTTCTGTATAGTTTTTTATTGGGTTGGTTTTACGTTCTTCAGGTGGTGCATGCATGATTCAAGGTGTGAAACCGATATATTATTTTTGTTTCATTTATTTCTTTGTTTAATAACGGGGCCGCAACCAAGGTGAGGCCATCCTAGCTGCATCAGAATGCAAAAAGGATACCCGCAGTGATTAAGCCAATATGAAAACCATGACTCGTGGCCAAAAAAAAAAAAAAAAAACAGCATGATAGTTTCCTTGACGGCATCTGCGTTCTCTCTTTCCAGAACTAATGGATTCACAAGTAAAGATTCTCTTGTACGGCTAAAAGCATGGGGAATTCTGCTTTGCGCTTGTCGGTCTCCCAGGCAACTTGAAGACTACATAAAGCACCCAACAGCTCTGCTTTTAGTGAAAAACAGCACCCCATAATAGCAACAAAGCCTTTCAGCCACCGCCCACAAGCATCTCTGACCACGCCACCGGCTGCTGCCAGATCTGAGTTGCCTCTACTCGGTCCATCTGTTAGACTACAGCCTAACAAGTTCATTGCAACTACGTTGCATTTATCACATGTTAATTGCTTCTAGTTAACAACTTCCTTTACTTCCATGTCACTGGTAATAAGGACTGTAACAATGTCCTCCCCTTCAATGATTCTTGACCTCAAGAATCTGTATTGAGTTCTGAAAATTGCTTTGTTAATTCTTCAAATTCTTCCCAAGTTGCATCTTCTTGAAAAAAGTTGGACCAGGGATCCAAACCCATCATAACTACACTATTGTTCTTCTTCATAAGTTTCCTATCTAAGATGCCCACTAGACGAATTCTTACCCTGCCATCTTCATCAGTTACTAGAATCGTGTAAGTTGCGACTGCATCGATACTAATTTGTTTTTTTATCAATGAGACATGAAAAACTGGGTGAATTGCAGACCTCATTAGCAACCATAGTTTATAGGCAACTTCCCCAATATTTTGTACGATCTTGTAAGGCTCATAAAACCTTGATGGCATTTGATTTCAGACACCGGGTGTAATTTTTCTAAGCACCCATAATAGACATTTACGAATTTCAACTATTATCCAGTGAAGTGACTTAAATACAATGTATATTCTTGCTCATCTCTTCTTGTGATGAGAATGTTGAAGTTAATGCTTCTTTGATGTGGGTTTCGTGTAGTTCTTCCCTGATGAGTTAACCAATTCCTCTACCCCGCTTATTCCCTTTCAACATACCCCGCATCTAGCCTAAAATCCGATCTTTCTTCTCTTATGATTTTTTCTACTTTCTTGACTTTATAATTTATAAAAGTGTATTCTCTCTAAGAACTCATTTTGTTTTTGTTTTTCCTATATAGCTGGCTATATCTTTCCCTGGAATGGCTCACATAGAGATTTCTTCCCTGTGTGGGAGTGTTAGGGGTTTGAGTCATAAACTAAACTTCTTTAGTTCCATTGCTCCTAGTGGTGGGGATTTTCCCTTTAGTTACGTCTAGCATTCCTTTTTTTTCAAGTAGTCTATTGGGCCTGTGAATGTGAAAAAAGCTTTTCATCCGTCCCGACCAGTCCTTCTCTCTTTTTTTTTTTTTCAGGGAATAAAGAGAAGAAGCACGCTTCATTTGTTCGACCAGTTAGGGTTCAGGGATACCGTAACAAACAAAAAGATAATCTTTTTTATAAAGACGGCAGACGGAAGGTAAGGAGGAGTGGTGCAGTTTTTCCTCCCCATCGGTATGCGATATCAGTATGTAAAGTTAATTTCTCTCGTAGGCCCGCTTTTGCAATTTCTGGTTTGAGGCCGCTAATGAGCATTGATAAGCTGTCGCAAGCATTTTTGTATAGTTATAACTTAAAATATACTATATCACCAACTTGAAATTTTTTTTCCATCTTGCTCTTCTACCCATCTGTTTCATTATGTCTCTGGAGCATTCCAATTACAAATTAAGCCATTGATTCATGCTTCTTTTTTTTTAATAACTTCTTCCACACCTGCTAATGAAATTGTTGCAAAGGAATCAAATTTAATATCAAGAGGAGGGTTGACATTTAATGCCTGAAATAATGTTGTTTTGATAACTGAATAGTAACTTGAGCTGTACCAGCATTGTGCTTGAGTTGACAAATGATATCAATAATAGACGAACATGCACCTTAAATGGGTTTTAAGGCATTTATTTTCTCTTTTTATTTGATCATTAGTTTTTTTATTAAGAAATTCAAACTTTCATAATTAATTTTGATTAATAAACTAATAATACCCCTATCTCTCCGTTACCATGAAAATAGCCATATATTCATTTTAATTTATAGACATGCATATATGTATATGGTTATAAAACCTTATTAAAGTATACTAAAGGTTTCTTATTCTGACTTGACACAACTTCTAATCTAGAAGCATTAATATTGGTAAAGCCAAAACTAGTGTCATGCACAAAAGCCTCCTTTAAATCCTTAAATGTTTCATGTGATCTCTAATTCTAATTAAAAATATTTTTCTTCAATTTCTTAATCAATGATTTGATTATAACTTTAAATTTCTTTATAAATTTTCTACAATAGCTAGTTAATCCTAGAAAATCCCTTAACTCTTTAATTGATTGTGGTGTAGGCCAGTTTCTAACTACTTCAATTCCATTTGAATTAGTAATTGCTTGACACGACCAAAAGATTGATATTTTTTTTTTAAGTGCAGGTGTGTCGAAGTAATAAATAACCCGATAAGACCGGGATCGAACTACAAGGAGATTAATTGTATAAATTATAAATAACAATAATATAACAATAACAATAATAAGAATAATAATAGTAGTAGTAGTAGTAGTAGTAATTATAATAGTAGTAATAATAATAATAATAGAAAAAGAAGAAGAAAAAAGAAGTCGATGAGAACTTTGAGATGGAAGATCAATGTAAAGATTAAACAATGATAACAACAAATGTCAAGGTTAGAGGATCCACTAATGGTATTTCAAAGAAGTATAGTATAAACTCTTATTACTCAAATGAAAACCACATACAAAGGATGTTCGAATCAGATTATAAATTGTTAATGTGATTACATTAATTATCTTATTTAAATAATGTTAATACTTGTAAATATTGTTAGGCATTTATGATTATAACTTATGTTAACAACAAATCAAGTTCCTTTTATAACACAGGTATAGGTTATACCATATGGTTGAGCTATAAAAATGCCAAGTATTTATTGTACCAAGTGTTATACAACACAAATCTAGACTAACCATTTAACAAGCAAAGTATTAAAAGTGAACAAAATAACAAATACAAAATATGTTAGTATCAAATATTAAGATCCATGTTGAGTTTACACTATATTTATTTTTACACCATTATTGTAACCTTTTCACCTTGACATAATAAATTTAGCTAAATATAATGAAAGAAAGAAACATAAAAAACAAGATAAGAACATAAATAAAATAAAAGTTAACTAAGTAAAGGAAAAGAATTGAAAGGCATAAACAAGATATTAATAAAAATAAAACTTAAGCATTACAAAAATAAAAAGAGAGAAAGCAAAAGCATGATCTTGATCTGAAAACCAAGATGCCTATATACATGGCAAATGCCTCATTTTATAGGACAAAATTGAAAACTATTGATTTGATGACTAATTGATGAGTGGGTGGCCAATTCTTGACTTGGTGACAATTCTTATCTTTTCTTGTCTGAATAAAATCATTGATAACATCAGAATTTGAACCACACCTCTATATGAAAGTTCTAAGAAATTGTCTCAGCTTTTCAAAAAAAAAAATTGAGGTCATTTGGACTTCTAAAACTCAAGATATGAGTTGAACACTAAATAGTGTATGGGTTGCAAGACAGATTCAGACTTCTTCGTTATTGCTATAATTTGGACTTGAAAATAATTTTTTTAAATCTTGGACTCTCATGAAATTTATAGGCCTATGTCTTAGCTTTCCATCCATATAAAGTAGACCTAAATATGAGATCTACAACTTTATATATGACCCAATAACTGAACAGTATTCAAGTTTGGACTGCATCAGCATCTCTTTTCTAAGTTTGACCATCTTTTTGTCCTTTCAATTTCAGTATTAAACTCATCAATCAATCTTTTTATTTATATCATAGACCTGCATTTAAGATAAACACCACAAATTAAATGTATCTTATATTACTAGATACGTTATTATAAAACATGCTTAAGTTAAAGAGTTATTGATACTTCAAGTGTAAAATGATGATATAAAACCTTAATAAAAATGCACTTTTAAGTACTAATCAGTGCTCCTTCTGAAGAGATAATATGGCTAAAATATTCCACTTTTCTTTCATTATAAGAACATTTAGACTTCTTTGTAATATATCCACAACCATTATTAAATGTTAAATATACAAATCTAAAAAAAGATTGTACACTAACATATCAATAAAGAAAAGAAAAATAACAAAATAATTCTAAAATATTGTTCATAAGAGGTTTATAAAGTAGTTGGAGCATTTATTAACCCAAATAACATTACCTTAAATTTATAATGGACACGATGGGTTTTAAACATAGTCTTTTTCATATCATTTATATGTATCCTTATTTTATGATAGCTTGTGCTGGAATCTAGCTTTGAAAATAATTGAGATTAATACAACTCAACCATAAGATCATTAATGATGGAAATTAAAAACTTATTTTTTACTATTAAATCATTAAGTTATCTATGATCAATATAGAAACTCTAATAACCATATTTTTTTCTTGACAAGTAAGACTTCATAGATGAAAAGACTATAACTGTGTTGGATTAATCCATTGGTTAACACTTTCTTCACCAATTTTTCAAGTTCATCCTTATACACATAAGAGCTCTTGTAAGGCTTAATATTTACACGTTTAGCTTTAGAAACTTGAGGAATCTTGTGATCTAAAGCTCTTACTAGTGGCAATTGAATTGGTTCTAGAAAAAAAGACTCCTTTAAATTCTTTCAATAATTCTTAGACGGCTACATCTTGTTCATCCACTAATGATGCCTCTATTGCTTTTATCGTACATGTGCAGT